ATGTGTTCCCAATAATAATTTTATCTGGTCCATTGTAGTGTTTAAAATCAGTTAGGATACTTGAGTTATGTGTCATATGACTACTTGCTTCTGTGCCTACATACAAGGTGTTATCAACATTTTTAAAATTAGTGGCAGTCAATGCTTGTGGTAGCTCATCTGCAGCTTGGTAAGAGTAATCCCACCTGTAAAAACACTTAAAAGAAGTATGATTATTCTTATCACAAAAATTATTCCTCTCATGACTCCACTTGAAGGACTATTTTGAGGACTTGGTTTGGTTCTGCTGTTATAAGAACATGTTCCCTGTCCAGTAGGCTTAAAGCCTCTTCCTCTGAAATTAAAGTTATTGTTTCCTCTTCTTTGAGAGTACTTTCCTTTTCCCTGCCTCTTTGAGCAGAAAATGTCATGTTATGATTTTGTTGAGGCACTTCTTCTTCATCCTTTCTCATATCAAAACCTCAAAGAGTATTAACAAATTTATTAAGAGTAGGATACGCTGCCTTACCTAACATGACAGTCCCGAAGATATTGTACTGAAGACCTATACCTCTAGCAAAGCTAATCATTTTGCTATCTTCATCAGCAGGCTTGTGAATGGTTGCAATATCATCACATATGCCTTCGAATTTCTTAATGTATCAATCAATTGATTTGGTTCCTACCTTCACACTTTGCAGCTGTTACTTGATCTGGAACTCTTTATCTTTTGTTGCTCGAAGATATGCTTATTCCAAGCATTCCCACATTTCCTTGGCAGTTGAGCAGCCTACAATCAGGTACATGTTTTCTTCTGTCAAGGTGCCTGATATCCAACTCCTTAGTAACACACCATTCTCCTCCCAGTCATCAACAATGTTGATGTTTTCCTTATTATTCTCGCCTGCTACATTTTCCTCAATAGTCTATCCAGTGAAATAGGTTTACGTGTTTCTGTGATGAGATAGGTTAATCTCATCACTTGAATCAACTGAGTCATTTTTGTCCTCCATATTAGATTGTTCGTTGGCTTAATTTTAATGGAGCAAGACGAAATAAGATGATGAAGTGAAGAGGTCTAAAGAGTGTTGGTAGAAGGGGCCATTGCGATTTGATAATTTGGTTGTTTTTGTTTTTGATCTAATGCATTAAAGAGCGGAAAAGCTTTATTTCTCTGATACCATGTAGAATCTCACGTATATGTCAAGAATTGTATTGATGATTGAATGATTGAGTTACATCCTCCTTATATAGGAGAAGAGTCATATACTAGCTACACTAGGAATCCTACTACAACACAGATATATTATTTACACCTAATCCTAGTCGACTACATCAACTTTAGTCGTACAAAGTATAGACTTGGACATAAATTAGGATTTAGTATTCTAGTCCTAGTGTATCTCAAACTCTAACTCTTCAGGCAACTTCACCAAAACTGTTCCTTTGACATGTTCCATCACCTTCCTTCAACACTATTGGCCGGTGGTGACATCAATTGTTCAAATTCTTGATTTATAGGTTGGAACTGAATAGATTGAGCTTGATATTCAGTGTTACGAGGTTGAGATCGATTAATCTAAAGAATAGGTTGAGGTAAAGGATACTCATTTACATGGAGTGAACCAGTTTGAAAGTAGAGGGATCATGATGGAATTATGGGAGGTCGAGATTTAGAGTTATAAGGTAAAGATTGATTCACTTCAAGATTAGGTTAATGCATTGAAGATTCATTGACATGAAGTAAATCGATATGTGATTAGAGGGCTCTTGATGGGATTATGGTAGGCAGTTAAACTGTTTATCGCTCTACTGTACGTATCTTTCTTTTATTTAATTTTTCTCTTTTGCTGTTAAGCTGTCTTATTCTCTAAGATCTTGTACCTAACATCTGCAACAAACAAAGGACATAAAAATAATGTATTAGTAATGTAACTAATAAATAACACATGAACAAACATAGTGATAATGAAAAACAATGAGGGCAAGACAAAGTAATGCAAGAATTATTTGTGTCCAACTTAACAGATAATAGATTATAAAAGTAAAAAAAATCGAGGGAGATACATGTACTTGGTAAATGGTCATAGTAATATTAAAATCACAATTCTATAAACCAGAATAAAGTACTAAGTAAACAAAATAAATAGACAAACTAATATTCTCAATCATCCTATGCATCATGTTCTTGGGTTTGAAAGTGATCTTGTGAATCATCACTATCAAAAAAAATTTCCTCTTCACTTGTTTCCCCTTCCTCCTCTTCACTTGTTGTCTCCTCATTTTCAACTTTATTTTCATTGTCAACTGGTTGAAAATTACTTTCATGTAACTCTTTTAACACTCAACTTGTTCATCTCGTAAGCAATTAATTGGATCATCTTCTATACTTGCACTAACATGTGATTGCTCCTCTTGGTAAGAAACTTTCAGATTATATGTTCTATCCACAACTCCTCTTGGATTTGTACTTATAACTACCCATCAATCAGCTTTATCTCCTTTGTTTTCAGGATGACTTGCACAATAAACTTGAGTTGTTGTTAGGGGAAAGTTGAAAGGGTCAAATTTAGAATATCTTCTTCTTTTTCGAACTTCGATAATACCAAAATCAATATCAACTTTCATGCCATTTTTAGAGGTATCAAACCAATCACAATAAAATAAAACTAACTTCATAGATGATGTAATTGGCCATTCTAATTCAATAATTTCCTTAAAAACATCATAATATTTACTTATTGTACCATCTTGTCCATTGCCACTGACACACACCCCACTATTATGTGTACTTTTTCCTTCACCTCAAAAAGCAGTATGAAATTTGTATCCATTTGCAAAATAAACAGGCTAAGACCATGCCTGTCTTAATGGTCCCATTGCTAAAATTCGCAAATAAGAATCTTGTGAGATATCTTGTGGATTATTATTCAACTATGAAGAAGAGAAATTTTATCAGATTTACATTTCAAATGATATATTCTTTATTCACAACTGATTCTATTAATTCATATATATTCCTTGAACTATTGTGGAAAGTTAGCTTCAATTTGCTTATCAAAGACAGTATCAATATGATCATTGTAAGTATCTCATAGAACAGTGTCATACAAAATGCACTCAATTAAATTAGTAAATTAATTTCAACCTAAATATAATAATCATACATAAACTATGGTGGGTACTTACTTGAGAAAAGGTTTAACCTCATCACAATAAATAAGAACATGCAATTGTGTTGCAACAACTTCTTTATCATCTAGCCACTAATATTGTCCTTTTACTTGCCATAACTTCGTCGAGAAAGATAAAAGACCGAGATAGTTGGTTGAGTAGCATTTTTTTATTAAATCATCATTGTGATCAACTCTATTGCTTTTAGATAGGACATGAGATTCAAAATAATGAGAAGCAAAGAATGAGATTTCTTGAGCCAAATATGCTTGTCAAATAGATCCTTCAACTCTATATTTATTTTTGGTAGTCTTCTTCATTTTTTAGGAACCTGCAATCAAATTATGAAATAAATAAATTATATAATAAAACAATGAGAAAAATAATAAATTCTTAAAATAAATTGGTATACCTTTGAAATGGATACATCCATCGGTATTAAACAGGATCAAAAACCGTTGCATCATAAGGCAAATGAATCATTAAGTGCTGCATTGAATCAAAAAGACCGGCTTTGAATCAAAAAGACCGGGTGGAAATATTCATTGCAATTTACACAAGATTAATGAAATGTTTTCTTCCATTTGCATTAAATGATCCTTCCGCAATGTTGTTGAGCACATGTCTTTAAAGAATAGACTGAGTTTGATTAGTGGCTTCCAGATTGGTTTAGGTAGTGCACTAAAAGCTACTGTAATAAGACATAGCATAAAAATGTGACAGTCATGAATTTTCATTCCAAATAATTTTAAATGTTTCTTATCAACACATTCACCCAAATTAGAAGCATATCCATCACACATATTTAGCTCATAAACCCCCTCACATACATCTTTCTTTTTGTCGTCATTTAAGGTAAAATCTGCTTTTGTTTTAATCCATCTCCTATCAGTATTCTGTTGCAAGAGTAAATCACTTCGACGACAATATTCTTGCAAGTCCATTCTTGCCTTCTCATTATCCTTTGTTCTCTCACTATTATCCATGATTGTATGGAAAATATTATCAACGACATTCTTTTCTAAATGCATTACATCAAGGTTATGGCGAACTAGATTGGTCTTCCAATATGACGGATTCCAAAAAATACTTCTTTTGGTCCAACTATGTGATTTTTCATAATCGTAAAACTTGCATGGACCAGATTCAGTAATCTTAGGAAATCCTTTAATTGTTTCCCACACTTGTTCTCCAATTAAACTGGGAGGAGAGACTTTTCCTCTCTTCCTTTATACAAAGCATTCTTGTTTCATCTAATCATGATTGAGAGGCAAGAATTGCCAGTTATAATCAAACCAAGAAACTTTTCTTCTATTTTTCAAGCTGCAAGTTTTTGTATCATCCATACAAATTAGGAAAGCTAATTTACATGTTGTACTCTATCCAGACAACATGCCATAAGCAGGAAAATCATTAATTATCCACATGAATGCTGCTTACATGTGAAAATTCTGTTTCTTGGACATGTCATAAGTGACTGCACCATCCTTCCATAACGGTTGTAATTCATCTATTAATGTTTGAAGATACGCATCAATTTTCTTTTTAAGATCATGAGGACCTGGAACAATCAATGTTAAGAACATATATGGGGCAATTATACAAATATCAGGAGGAACATTGTACGGTGTAACAATCACTGGCCAACAAGAGTATGATGATCTAGATTAGCCAAAAAGAGTAAAACCATCAGAACAAAGACCAAGCCTAACATTTCCAGGCTCTACAACAAAGTCTGGATAATTTTGATTCTTCCCTGTGATTTTCATAGTGCCACCTTATGTGTTCAGCAGATTTTTTCAAAGCATATAAGTATTGAAGTCTAGGAATAAGTGGAAGATAATGCATTGTCTTGTGTGGAATATTTTTCTTACCTTTCTTGTCCATACATTTTTTATAACGAGGTTCTTTAAAAATCTTACATTCTGTCATCTCTTTATCAACCTTGTAATATAACATACATTAATTAACACAAAAATCAATTTTTTGTCTAGTTAGACCAAGCCCCGACACTAGCTTCTTTGCTCGGTAGTAATCAAGAGGTATGTTATTATCTTGAGAGCTTGTCTCCTTCATTAATGAGTCATTGCATTAAAACAACTATGATACATATTGTATTCATATTTAATACTTATCATTCTCACAGTCAGAAACAACTCTGAATATTCACATCCATGCCATAAGAAATTTTGAGCTGAATTCCACACTTTATAGCATCTTCTAGCACCTGTATTCAGAGACTCTTCTATATTGGGTTCAACTTGATGATTAAATTCTACAGCAGCGGTATCATCAATCATACATACGTGTTCACAATTTTTTTCGAGAATGTTACATTGACTACTTGAGGGCATGTCAAAGTAACATTCTTGATGACTACTTGAGTCACCAGAATAGATATGTTTATTCAAATTTATTGAAGGAGCTTTCTCTCCATGTGATGTCGATATCAATATCTTGGTGTGAATCATTTGTCAAAAACATGCACAATAACTTCATCGGGTGTCAAGTGCTTCATATTTTTACAACGCTTACAAGGACAACTTATAACTATTTCTGACAAATACTTGTGTTGCCTACAAGCAAATTTAATAAATTCATCTATTGCACTTATAAATTCATTAGTAAATCATGCTTGACCGGAGATTAGTCTATTTACCTTCCATTTTCGATGCTTAGCAATTTTTATTTTCTGAACCAAAAAATAAGTATATTTGTAACACATAAATAATGAAATTTAGATATTGTATGGTTCAACAATGGTTAAGTAAAGCTACTAGTCAGTCACATGAAGCTAAGAATATGCACATATCAATAATAAAACAAGGACAAAAGAAAGCAACACAATACTTGCCCGAAAAAAAGCTACATGAGAAATAGAACATAACTATAATGTAGAGGGCACCACTTCTTTTGAACACTCCCCATATATTTAGAAATTTCATACACTTTTTAATAATCAGAACAGAGAGTGTATACAGCTAGCCCAAATATATTAATATTGTACCTACTGGAATAATATGTAAACCATTCTAATATGAGAACACACACAACATACATATGATATATTAACTGAAACATATGTCTAAAAAGAATGAAATTGTAAGCTAATTCTCACAAATGTGTTAACTGAGTACTTTTGTCTTTTCGCATTCTACTCATGGTACATGAGACAACTTGGTTAGGAAACAGAATATAATCACAAAATGGCTTGGATTGAATCAACTTAATTTTTGATTGTTCCATCAAGTAAAGGAAACGGAATGAGGAACATGATCCAACATCAAAATATCACATCACTAACAATTGGAGTATAATCACAAAATGAATCAACAAATTTTGATTAAAAATGAAAGAACGAAGCATCTTCGTCACTCTAAGCAAGAGCACCCACTTTAAAGTTATCCTGGAGACGCTTGGATACCTCAACCATCTCAGAAGATAGAAGCTCAATCTGCTCCAATAATTGTTTTAAATCAAAATAAAATTAAGACTTGCTAGATTTAGTAAATCAGTTCCACATGATCTCTGTGGGGACCTTTTTCAGAAATCAGACTACAAGAACAAAAACTGAAAGGTGCAAAGCAAGTATGATTTTCCACTACTGAATTGAGCAAGGAAAAAAATTGATGAACATGCAAAGAAAAGATGACAAAAATTTGTACTAAGTTTCAAGATAATGAATATATCACTTCTAATTTTAGCTCTCACTCATATTGTACTTGACTCCACTATTCATTTGCAAGATTCTTTTAGTAAAAAAAAATGAACCAAGGAAATATCATTGCAAAAAGACACTCACCTATCTTCTTTATTGGCGGAATGAAGGGTTAAATAGTGAGAGTAATTCCAACGTCTCAGGAAGCTAATCAAGATAAATGACAACACATTTTTCCACTCTTCCTTATCGGTAGGGCAATCTTCTCTTATGGCCTTCACCCCCCGCCCAGAAATAGAGAACCAAGCACTATTCTGATCCATTAATTTCTGCAAGCAGGGAGGATCCAGAGCGTTGTCCCCTCCTATTCGAGGTCGGATGACCGCGCCCCATAAGCACCGAACCTTACTTTTACTTTTCTTTCAGTTTTTCTGCACGAACTGGCCACTTAGGAGCCCTACTCATATTCTAAAAACTCTACTTAAATTCAAGCGCAACCCCCCCCCCCCCGAGACCCATTCGTTTGGTCCAACAGGAGAGTGGAAAGCCTTAATGTGATCATCGAAGAACACAAAACATATTATTATGACTTTGTGAAAAAATATTTGTGCGATTGAAGTTCTCTGCCCCTGTGGGGATGGAGAGACAGAATTTCTTTTGAGAATTCAAGAAAAGGTCACAGCGAGACGATTCAGTTATAATTATAATAGGTGTCAAGTGGAAGTCCAGTGATGTATGCAATTGAGGCATCCTAACAGACCGGTAGACTTAAACCTTGTTCCTGCATGACCTAATCAATTCGATCAGGCACTCGCCATCTATTTTCAGTGTTCAAATCTTTGACAACACAAAAAATGGAAAATTTGTTCTAAAGAAGAAGGTTGCTTGATTATTCTTTTTAAGAGCAAGACATAAAGACTCTGTAGATCGTGAAAATGCATGTTCTAATGCTTGCACGGACTCATCTGCTTCCAACAATCTAACAAAGTGACTTTCACAAAAGAGAGGTTAGCGAGATCCCAACTCTGAGGAGAGAAAAAAAGTTCGACCATGAAAAGGCAAGTCGGGTTTCACCACATATGTGTGGTACCCGGTCCCATGCAAATGTGGACGCCCATGGCTTTTTTGGAAAAGAGGCGAGTATCCCTCTTTTTCTATTAGCTCTTGTAGTTATGGACATCTAGGAAAATCTATGTATCTTAAAAGGATCATTAGAAGTCTTATTCTCTATCTTTTATCCTCCAACATCATGGTTGTTTAAACGTCTCTATTGTTATCTCCGGACGTTGCGGACGCCAGTTCTCATCCGTTGTTCTCTCTTAATGTTCGGTCTTCAAAATCCTGTCTTTGAGAAAGCCCACTTTCCTCCCAACTTGGATTTAGGGGGCTCACTTGCCCAATGGATGTTCCAATTACTAAGCTGACTACCTTCTGAGCCCTGTAGCTCTTTAAGTGAGTTTTTCTTTCATGCCCTCCATGACTAAAGTGAGTAATGCGATAAGGTTTTCCCTCCCCTGTTAGTAGTTCTGGATCGAGAGATTCAGGGCACCTTTCCTTCGCTTTATTCCCAAGTCTTGGGCTAGGCTGAGCTTCAAAGTCGGGCATTCTTCCTAAAACCAAAGTCTGACCTCTTCCAAGTGATTTTCTTTCCTGCATTCCTTCCTAAAGGCAGGACTGGGTGGGTTAAGTTGCTCCCTCTTTCCTCTGTACCGAGCTAAAATAAACAATGATGACTCTTGTGACTAGGCATAGATAGAGGCATTCCTTGGGTATTTCATGCTTCTGCTTCTTATGAATGACCTAGACATGTCAATGGACGAAGAAGAGCGAAAAAAACAGATATGACATAGAATATGAGATACGTATTCATTTCTTGAGAATATGAGATACGTATTCATTTCTTGAGAATTATGAATGACCTAGACATGTCAATGGACGAAGAAGAGCGAATTATAATCTCAAGTGCTATCGACCTTTCACAGAGGTTGACTTGAACACAAATCCAATCTTTGAGAGGTTAGTGAATAGTTGTAACCAGTTCGTCCTTCTTCGGAGAAATCGGGGAGTGGGCTTAAGGCTAGGGCCCCTCCGCACATCAGAAACTAACAATATAAACACAAACGGAATATTGAATTGCGTATAGAATGAAAACGAACCACTTTTATTCTCAGAGCTGAGGTGTATGAAGAATGGCTTGGACCTACCAAGACGATTTCTTTATTCCCATCAAATGACCTCGAGATACTTATCCACGAAAAAGAATACGAGAAATTTGGAAGAACTCATATAGGGAACGAGGGCGACCCATGTAAATACATCAATTTCGTACTCGTGCAAAGGAAATCTTTCTTGGCAACTTGGACACTTAGAACTATGTTTTTCCCGCATATCACTACGAATATTGATATCTTTGCAAAGGGCTTTATAAAGCTTTCTTCTCAATTCATATTTAGCCTAGCTGTCAGCAATCTACGTTTGTGGTCTCATATATTTCTTCTAGATATAAACTTGACTTTATGCAACCGTAAACCCCCTTCAGATTCTTTAATATATGAGTAAATCATGAGACATTTGTCCTTATAGTATAAAGAAGTTGGACTAACAATTATATAGTAATAAGTTAAACTATATAAGGCAAAAGTTGAAGGAGTTGAAACAAATTATATAGTAATAAGTTAAAGTATATAAGGCAAAAGTTGAAGGAGTTGAAGCCACACTTAAAATTAATAAACAATAATTATTACAGAGGAGCCACAGAGAAGACCTAACTCATCAGACACTATTTAAACGTAGTACAGTCCAGTAGCCACAAGTGACCAAATTAAAGGAGCAGTTAAGTTAAAGTAATAGTTCAATCCTTAGGGATGTCAATTGTGACAGGGAAGGGTGGGTTAAATCTTTACATTTTTAAATTTCAAAATGGGACAGGGCATATTTCATTTTCTAGTTTTTGAACTTGCTTTATTCCATATGGCTCAACCCATTTGATCTAAACAACCTATTTTCAAGTTAATAGGCAAGAAATGATGCTATGAATCAAAGCACTTTACATATAATGACTTGCCTCCATGTATTATGAATTATGTAACACAACAGGACCAGTTAGTCCATAGATTGCTTGATTAAATAAGACACAAAATTCCCACATTTCTCAGAAAGTGGCCAAAGTAAACAAAAACTAGGATTGTATTACTTTTTTTTTTGTTACAGTATCATCTTTACAGTTAGTTCATCAAGAAGGCTAATCACTACATGAGGACATAAAACAAATACTTGAAGACACTTAAAAGGAAGTACTAATCTATTGGTGCCAAGACTAAAGACAATTACTCCTAGAACAAGACTCTATCATTTAAAATGAACTGATAATGTGAGCTAAGTTAGGGTACATAAATATTCAGGGTATATTTCTATGTCAAGTGAAGTCAACCTTCTAAACTAATAACCTAATTTCTACGGTTAAAGATTAGGAGAATGTAATGAGTTTAGCTTTATTTCTCATGCCTCAAGTTTTAACTAGAAGTGTATTCTACAATCTATTCATATCATATTCATCTATTTGATTAGTATGGTTCTCAATCATATCAAAAAGATGGTTTAGAGCAGTGGCGTAGGCAGGAATTTCATTAAGGGAGTCCAAATTTTTAATATTATTTTTTAAAATAAAATGATAATTTAAACTACCAAAATAAATAATCAAGTTAAGCAATATTTAGAGAAGTCAAACTTTTTTTTGGTACTCTATTATAATAATTCCTCATGTCCGATGAAACTTAAAACTAAAATATTATGTTGGTATTTTGTTATAAAATAAAAGAACTAGAAGAAAAAAAAGAGAGAGAAATTATTGAGATTCTATTCTTAATAATATGGAGATATAATTTGGGTAATTGCGTCTCCTATTTATAGAGAAAGAAAACCTTATTCCATATGATTTTTTTTTTAAGGAAATCTTATTCTACAAGGAAAAGGTATCAAAATTTAAAGATATAAATCAATTTTAATTGGAAAAAATCCACAAGGAAAAAGTATTAAATTTTAGGAAATCTTATTCCATAGTGAAATGATATTAAAATTTAAGGAAATAATTCAATGTTAATTGAAAAAACATAATTAGTGTTAGAGGGATTCAACCTTCGGTCGCTGGAGGGGTTCATGACACAATCAACTAACACACTACTAAATGTTTATGCTAAAACTACGCATGTTTTTTTTAATGAAACATCTGCAGGGAATCGAACCCGAACAAAGTGTAGGGATGCAACAGCTATTGCCAACTCCGCTGCATCTCACTTAGTCATTTTAAGGGGTTCAATTTTTATATATACCAATAAAATTGTACGTGTATATATAACATTTTTTTCGACGAAGGGTGTCCAATCCTACGTGGCTCCGCCCCTGGTTTAGAGAGTAGGAAATAGTCATCTCTTGGTCTAGCCAAGTAGCAAACCAACACCAACAAGACTCAAACTCTAAAAAAAAAGCTACACAACATACTTGTTTATCTTGAATTTTCGCTTTCCCATCTTTCTCTTAATAGACTTATAATAACTAACTATTTAATCTCTCTAAGCAAACTATCATAACACTAAAATCTACTTAGAAAATTGTAAAACTACTGTTAAAAAAGGACTAAATATGTCACAATTAAATAGAAGGAGAAAAATAGTTATAACCAAATTTCAGTATCTTTCAAACTGACCATTTTTCCATTAAAAGAGTACAGATCTAAAGCACAACAACTCACATCCATACATTAAAACATAAACTCACATCAAGTAAGAAAAATTGAGCAATTTTGTACACAATTCCATTGACATCAACAAATTGAAGAGTCTAGAACACACACCATCTATAAGATATTAAACTTCAACAAGCTACGTACAAGAAATATCATAAAGACATACACTCATCTTCTTCAAAATTTGTGGCAAGTTTACCCACCAACCACCATCTATATGTATGGACATGGGTTGTGGCAATCCGTTTGAAGAAATATAGCTAATGAAAAAAGAACAATGAGCTAAACTTGAGACCACAACAATTATTGACCTCACAGAGCTTGAAATTTGCAAGAAAAAAAAAGTCACTCAATGTTCATTCAAACTGATTCAGTAAAACAAAAATTTGCAGATTAACCTCAAAAAGCTTGAAATATGCATATTAACTCAATTTTTGGCAAGCAACTCTTCTCGATCTGTAGTCCTTTACTTTGGAAAAATCCATTTGGAGAGAGGCATGAGGTCAACTTGGAGAGCTTTGAGCTTGGAGCTTTGGATGAGCTTAATCTATACTAAAATTTTCTATTGTTTTCATCTCTGCTTCTGCATGTGAGTTTTGGAGTGAAGGAAAATGGGTTTGGGAAAGAGCTTAGAGAGAATGAAAAGAATCCGTGTGAGCTGGAGGAAAAATACTTTCCTAAAGTTATTCGTCTGTTTTTAATTGGTCTTATTTATCCAAAAATGATATATATAAGTAATGACATAATACATAAATATACTCTTTAACTTGGGTTTAAATCACATGTATGTTCTTCAACTTTGAATATGTATAAGTAGACACTTAAACTTGTATAAAATAAAACAAATAGACATACATGTCCTATATGTCATTTTTTGACTTACGTGGTGTCCTACGGGTATTTTGCCATGTAGGACTCATGTATTTATTTATTTAAAAGTTTGGATAGTTAAAGTGTCTGTTTGTGCATTATGAAAGTTGGAGGTCAAAGTTAAAATTTGAAGTCAAATTTAGGGTCCAATATATGTATTATGCCATAAGCATAATGTAAAATAATTCAATATCTAAAAGATAATAAAATGCCTACATAATATCCCTAATTATTTCCAAGGTGATAAAATGTCTTTGGTAAATCCCTAAAAATGATTTTCAGACAATCTGAAATTTTCCTTAGATTAAAAAGGATTTTTTTTTAAATTTTGTCTATGGGGATTTAAAATACTTAGAAATATCGTTCTTGCGGATTTATTTTCGTAGATAATTTCATGGAAGCTAATTTACTGTAAAATGACATTATTTTAGCTGCGAAATTTGTTGGAAATACAAGTTTGGCAAGAAATATATTCTAAATATCAAGAAATTAAAGAATTTTCCAAGAAAATCTGCAAGTATTATCTGCGAAAATATTCTCCAGGTTATATTCTTATGTAATTTGAAGTTTTATTATAGTGTAACATGATACATAATAAATCTGAAACATCATAATGCATAACCAAATAAAACATAAGAATCAAATAAGCTTATTTCATAAATCTTAACAAAGCCAATACAAAGTTTCTCTTTTTTGAATGCAAATTACCAACTTACATCAACCACTTCTAGTTATTTATTATAGTTTTTCTGTGTACATAGTGGTAAAATTTAATACTAAAAACTGTAAATTACCTGAAATTTTACTTCGATTATTTTCGCTGAAATTTCTTGCGAATTATCATGCGAAATTATGAAAATTCTGAATTTTGGACCTTTTTACATGCAAAAAATATTTCCCCAGAAAAATTTATCAGCAATTTTGGCACCAGATTTATAAAGTTATCATTTTCATAGGTAAATTCGCAAGTAATGAAAATAATTATGTTTTAATTTGTTTGAAAGAAAATTTTGAAATAAACTTATTTGTCGATTCAATTAGAAATAATTACTTAAAAAATTATCTAGAAATAATTTTATTTGTGGTATTACCTGGGAATTTATGTTTTACGAATTTTGTTGGGAATTTGTTTCTTGAGGATTTACTTGGGAATTATTTTACTTTGTAGAATTACTTGGAATTTTATTATTGTGAATTTGATTTTTGAAGAATGCATACTTGAACTTTTTAAAATATAATTTAACTGAATTTTTTGAATCTAAGAATTTATCTTATTTGAAAACTTCAAGGAATATTTTGATTAAATATATTTAACAAAATAAAAAATTACAGTAATTGAAAAAATATCAATGACATTAGAATGAATTTTATTGGTAAATATTTACTCTTATTTTAGATTAAATAATTATTATACAAAAATATCAATCTAATATGAATTTGGAACATTACTACAAATGTCATTTTCAATATCTTTTAACTTATCATAAAAAGTCAATAATGTGTTTTTTTTTCTTTGGTTTTTTTGTTTCAATATAAAAGATAGAAAGAATTAATATTATATGAATAGTTATTTACCCAATAAAAAAATAACTATCATAAATGTAATTAATTTTGATTTAATATTATTTATATTAAATTGTGTATTATTCAATAATTCAAGCATTATATTCAAGTATAGAAAAATTCGATGATATACATTATTAGTGTGAAGTTTAATTACCCTTCATTGATAAAATTATATTAAATAAAAAAATAAATAAACTTTACTTGTATATGTAATTGATGTTTTTCATAAGCATTAAAAATGACATAATTTCTCTATATTAGTAAGTTATTAAATAATATTTATTTGCAAATATATATAATTAAGTTTGTTAAAATATACTTATTAAAATATCAATTAAAACTAAAAATACACAAATACCTAATAAAATATAATATCAATTATTGATTTTAACTTTCTTGCACTTTAAACTTATAAATTTATTCAATTATTTATTTATAAAAATTTTGTAAGTATAATTGAAACTTTGTCTATGTTTAATATGCTTAGTGATAGACATTATCTCATAGGAAGTTTAAGCATAACTTTTTCATGAATGTTAGGTGTGTTATTTGTAGTTTTGATGATATGACAAACTTAGGGACCTTGTAAAGGTACCAGGTTCTCAACATGAGTTTTGATGATGTGACAACTCAGGGTCCTTGTAAAGGTACCAGGTTTCCAACATGAATAGCCTGTTGACTGCCAGCTGGAGAAGGTACAGAAAGTGGGTGCATATTTCCCAATGGCGTCAGAAAAGTCAGACCTTTCCAACCAATGGCAAGAGCTTAAGGAAAGAGACTTGTCTATACAATGTCACTTTCCTAAACATCATTCCTTAGTTTTTGCAACTTGAAAAAGTACTCTCAAGAACACTTGCAAAGGCTATAGAAAATTAACGTGAAGAATTATTCAACAACAACTGAAAACTCAGGAGCATAACGTGTAGTTGTTTGAGAATATATTCTTTTGGTCTTACATTGTAAACTATTCCTAAATATATAAAGGAATCAGTGTGGTGGTGTCGAAATTCTAAGTTGTCTAGAAGGGATAGCTTAGTGGGTAGAATAACTTCTACTTAGGCTAAGCAATAGAGTCATTGCTTGAACGTGAGATTAAAAACTTTTTCTCACATTTGTGTAACTGGTTTTACTTTTGCTTTCAAAGATTAGTGAAACAGTTGTGAAAATCCCGTGAGACAAGTCGTGGTTTTACTCCCTTAAGTAAGGAGGTTTTCACGTAAAATTATTGTGTTGTTAAACTGCATTTACTTTCTGTTCATACTTGTTTATGTGTCAAGGGACCTGGTCCATTGACTGATAAGTGGATACATATATTCTAACAAGGTGGTAGTGATTTATTTTAAATATATAAATCACTTTTTAAGAGTCAAATTACATGTATTTTAACCAATGTTTATGGTATATTTTACTACCATATTAATATGAGATAAAGTAAGAGTACTTTTGTAGAATTTATGAATGAGTAATGATGCTAAATGGCCAGAAAAAATTGGTCATTATTTGGCCAAAAATGTAAAAAGACTAAAACATCCTTGCTTTAAGTTTTATATTTATTTCCTCAAAACTTTTCCCTTCAAACAAAATTAACTTTTTTGTAATTCCCATACTCCTTGAACTACTAAATAATAACTATTTGGCTGCCAAAAAAAAAATATTTTTTTGTATATATTTTTTTGTGGAGTAATTTCCCTAGATAATTACTCATGTTTGGGAAATTATCTAGGAATATCACTTATGTTTGTTTTAGGATTACGACATCACCCAACTTTGTCTATTTTCCTCAAAATATACTTGACATAAAAAAAAATACATCATTTCTCTCCTACTAGTGTGTCATGTCACATTTTTAACTAATTATTAATATTTTTTTTAATTCTTTTAAAGAACAGGAGGAACCCACATATTTTCTTGAAGAACCGGAGGAGCTCATATAACAATTCTTAATGTAATTTTTTTTACTGGGTATAATATGTGGGTTTGTCTAGAATTTTTTTTTTAAAAATCTATCTATACGTAGTAGGAGAAGTAAAAAGTGTCACATGTCAGCACCACAAATATTCAAGAATTTTAATTTTTCAAAAAACATTTTAAATATTCTCTAAAAATATAATTAAAAAAATAGAAATTTCAATATAACTATTTTAAATAGAAAATAAAAGTTCTTTTGTTAAAAAAAACTGTAATGGCAAAAAATGGATGACTTTTAAATGCCTCTAATTTCAATTTTAAAAGAAATAAATGAAATTGAACTATTTGTTCTTTTATAAAAATAGTAATGTCTATTACAAGAAAAAAATGAAAGATCTTCAAATGCTTCAAATTTCAATTTTTAAGGTTAAAAAATAAAAACTGAAAATTGAATTATTTTATATAAAAAAAATGTAATGTCTATTTATATTTATCACACTTTCAGTAATCTTAGGAAATATTCCAACAAAATGGAATGTAGAAATATCTATATAAATAGGAGAAGAAAAAGTTCACCATAAAAAAACTGTGTAATTATTATTTAAAAAATTAATTAAAAAATTTATATTAAGAAATAATAATTATCATTAAAAAATTGAAAAAACTTATTTTTTAAAAAATAGCTAAAATAATACATTACTAGTTAGTTGTAAAAATTGGGGTACTTCTTTTTTTTAAAAAAAAATTATCTTTATAAATCTTAAAAACAAAACATTTTAAAAAAATATAAATAAAAAAATATTTTTTTTAAAAACATATTGCAATCTAATGTTTAAATAGGTTTAAAGCATTTTTTCTTTAATAATAATAAAAATAATATGACATGA